AGAATAGTTCCATCGGAAGATACCTCTTTGGAAGAAACGATGAATGATGCAATTTGCTCTGCCCCTAACGGATCTGCCAATGCCAGAGCTTTCAAGTTTTCACGACGTGTTGCTTCTTTGCAGTTATGAGGCAGTCTTCGAGCAATGACAGATAGGCATTTTGTGCATCGTTTTTCAAAAGATTTTTCTTCTTTTTGCACTTCTTGCTGAGATGGTTTTTCAAAGGGGTGCTTTCCTTTCCCTTTGGTTTTTGAAATTTGACAAATGATGCAATCACATTTAGTTGTCTGGCGAGTTGATGGTTTGATCAATATGGATTCGAAGTCATAAAGTTGAGGTATACTCACTTCTTCATCTCCAGAAGCTAACTTTCTAAGCAGGAACCTACAGGTGACACAGATCCCTCGTGGAACCCTCTCATCATCAAAGTTGATGTTGCCAGAAATCAATCTTTTGATTTCACTGATGAAATATTCTGAAATTTCTCTGTCACTTTTTTTCATACAAAGTGTGCAAACGACCTGCCGACATTGATTATGATCCTTTGAAAAAGTAGGCATTTCAAAATCTGAGATGAACTTGTGATCTGTTTGAAGATATCATTTAAACTAATTCATAAAGTACAAAGAGGTCATAAAACGTATGAAAATGTACTAAAAGTACAAAAAGTCCGTAAAATTGGAAATGTCCGAAGAGTACAAATTTTAGGAAAGTACAAATTTACGGCAATTCACGTATCAAATTTTTCATCGTAATTCGCGATTCAAAAATTAATCGATTCAAAACTTGAAATGGAAATATCTCCCCTTATAGCTCATTTCTCAAAAAAATTTATTAAATACGAAATCTTTACAAATTAATTGTCTAAAAAAGTTATTTTATTAAAAAAATCACTACGACCCACTCCAATACCGCTATTTTCAAAAACAAAAACTGCTAATGTTTTTATATTATTTCAAAAATTTAAATCAAAATATCTCTCTCGGATTTTAATTTTGGATTTCAAAGTAAGTTGATATAGTATTCTTGACATGTGTAGTTTCATACCCTAAGAGGATTTTTTCGGGATGTTTCGTAACCAAAAAAGTCAAAATTTTCAAACGGTGGAAGAAGCATGCTTCTTAGATCATTAAAAATGATAGACGAGGCTTTTTCGTAAAATATTGAAGCCACAATTTTTTGTATATGTGACATCATTTTGTGGCAAAAAAACTAGAAATAAGATTTTTGCAGATAAATGCAAAAGGAAACTTGACGCATAAAAGTTTATTTTGCTACAAACTGATGTCAAAACGCAAAATTTTTTTGGCTTGACTTTTAGATTAGCATTCAATGTTATTCTATTCTAGTTTTTATTTATAATCATAAGAATGAACTTTTTTTTTATGACTATGATTTAGTGGTCTAACATCTTCTTAGTTCCATTTGTATAGCGTTACATACAAACGTCTATAAGTATAAACAACTTTAGCATATGTTGAGTTTGCAGGCATTATATGGAATAAACGCGTATAATATATCTATAAAATGAGAAAACTTTAAAATTTTATTTTAAATTTTAGAAATCTTTTTTGTTATACTATTATTTTTTTTGCTATAAATATATAAGATTAAAATTTCAAAATTTATTACGCAGAGGGGAGATCTTAACCCCCCCCCCCCCAAAAAAAAAAAAATGATGACAGTGCATTTAACCACTGAGCTATCAATCAAATGCATTTAGCAGAAAAACAAACCTAATTATAAGTCTCTTATAAGCTCTACGTATGCGGAAACGGTGCACATGCTAAGTTTTTTACTCTTGAATGTTTTTTTTAGAATAAATTGCTTTACTAAAAAATATTGAAATAAATAAGGAATAGGTATATAAATATTCAGTGTGGAATAGATATGTATAGAAATGGTAGGTTTGGTAAAGACCAGTATTTTACGGATTTGAAAGCTAGGAAAAAGTACAGAAAAGTTTGGTTTGGAATAGACTTACAAAGAACAGACTTCTCAACTAATTATATTATTCTCTTAATAGCAGAGTCCCAATGTTGTACTTCAAAAAAGTACATTTTTTCAGTAAGACAATCAATAGTTATTAATGTACAAAGCTTTTTCTTTAAATTTATTTTCAAAATGAATCATGGCGCTTTGCACTTCATGTCTTTTTAAAGTTAGTGTCATGTCTCTCATTTGTTCCAGTTTTCACTAAACTAAAAGTAATGTTACTAAATAAGTTACAACAAAAACAAAAAACTTTGTCAGATTTAACTGTGTAAACAAGTCAAAATCTGTTGATTAATTTACCCTTAGGAACTTTGAAACCAAAATCTACATTGTTAATTGATTGGCTTTCATTATCTTTCCGGTAAGTAATAACAGAAAATTTTGGCCAATTTGCTACATCGCCAAAGTTATTTTTATTCACTATAACATTCAAATTTATATTATTGTTTGAAAATTCCATTTTTAAATTCAAACCTACAACTGCAGTAGTTTCACTGTATCCTTCATTCATGTTTTAATTTCAATAATTATTTTGCATTCAATTTATCATTAACTTATACTTTTATTTTTAACTTTTTTTAGATTCTCATATTCAATGCCTTTTTCTGCAATTGCTTGAAAAAAATATGAAGAGTTTTCTGCTTTTTGAAAGCCTCTGCTTGTTTTATTTTTTCTCTTTTCAATTTATTCTGCCAAACAAATAAATTTATTTTTGGATTTATTTTAATTTAAGCAGTATAGATTTGTTATGATTTTGAATCAGCCGTGAAGCATAAAAGCATTATTATAAAGTAACAAATTACTTCTAATGATTGTTTAATAAAATAAAAAGTTTTATTTAAATTATCATTAAATAATTATAGCACTTAACAGCTTACACATAATATAATAACTTTACAAAAGATCAATAATTAAACTTTATTTATAATATAACTTTTCATCTCTAAAGCATAAATTAAAGTTTAAAAACATCTAGACAGCTGTGGTCAAATTGTCAACAAAAAATATTATTCCTGAAATGGAAAAGTATTTCTTAGGGTATGCAAACATTTATGTACTCATCAAGAACAAAATTTTTATAAACGTCTATTAAATGTCTAATTTTCAAACAAAGTAATACAGTTTACTAAACAATATATTTTGAGCCTTCTTAATTTTGTCTTTTTTAGTTATGAGCCTGTGTGCACTGGACACTTTGTAATGCTACAAGCAGCCTTGAGTATGACCTGAAATGTACAGGCAATAAGTTCTTATCAAGTCCTCATACATAGACAGTGCTTTATTGATTTTATTTTATTAAAAAATAAAATTTTATCAAAAATTAGAGAGATATGTAATTTTCAAGCATTTTGTAGACTGTGTTATTTTGAAAGGTCATACAAAAATATATGTTTCCATAAAAATTGTATCACAAATTTGTTAAAAACCCTTCACTTTATTTCTTCTTCACCATTAATGACATAGCTTTGTAAAAGGCAAATCTTGTATCACAAATTTGTTAAAAATCCTTGACTTTATTTCTTCTTGACCATTAATGACATAGCTTTGTAAAAGACAAAGCTTGTATCACAAATTTGTTAAAAACTCTTGACTTTCTTCTTATAAAAGCAATGGTTGAAAAAAAAATGGATAAAAAAATCAAATGATGAAGTAATGTGAGACTTGCTAATACTAAAGCTTTAGACAATGTTCCTCACAAAGACGTTATTTTTAGTTCCTCACAAAGATGTTACAAAGAAAGTATTGCTCATGGTGAAATTGTTTCTAAACAGACTGAAATATTTAGCAGTGTGTCAAAGGGCTTTATTATTGAATCCTTGTTGTTTATTTTTTATATTAATAATGTACCAAGTAAAATAGTGAATAAATTCAAATTATATAGTCTATGATACGAAGATTTACTAAGTTATTTTGGTAGTAAATAATGCAACAGAATGTTAAAAAATTGTTAGCAAAATTGAATTTAAGGATTGAGAGAGAGTTTAAGGATTGAGAGAGAGTTGCAAATAAAATATAGTTAAAAATAATTAAGCAAACTATTTCATGGTCTCTATATTTAAAAAATGTTCACCATTCAGCCAGTTACAGTATTAAATACTAGCTGATTAGTTATAATAGCAAGACCCTAATGCAAGATCAACAAGTACATTTTAAAGCTTAAAAAATTCAGCTTTTAATTTCTACTATTTTTAATTACTATTTTTATCTTAAGAACACTCAGTTCACAATCAAGAGATTAAAATCTGTTCTACGCCTTTGAAAGTAATAATGGTACTTTCAGATGATAGTGTGGTATTCTCAAAATAGTGTGGTACTTCCAGAGGCTTGTGTGGGTTTAAGGATTGAGAGAGAGTTGCAAATAAAATATAGTTAAAAAATAATAGGAACCAACTTGTACCAACATCCTCAACTGTAGTAGAAACCCTCTTTGGCACACGTTGAAGCATAAAGGAGGTAAAATTATTAAAATATATTTAAAAAAAACAACTAACCTCCTCAACTATAGTAAAGACACCCTTGGCACCCTTTGGAACATAAAGAAGAAAAAATTAATAATTAAAAAAAAAAAAAAATTTTAAAGTTATTGGATTTCTAAACCTTTATTTTAAAACTTTTTCATTGACAACCAAATTGTCAATTAATGGAACAGCATGCTAGATAATATAGTCTGTTCTCCATCTACCAACAGCTAGAAAGAAAATCTTGACATGTTCTAAAGTTAGAACAGCTTACAACTCTCCTTTGTGAAAGTTGTTTTATATGCTTTACAAATGATAACAATAATTTGACTATATTTTTTATTGTATTAATTATTTTCACTTTGTTGTAACTAGATAAACTACTAATATTAATAATAAACTGGTTAAAAAATAAAATACATTCTTTACCAATAACAGGTAAAATTTTTGACCAGAGAAGAAATATACTGAGTATGAAAGAGTAAGGAACAACTTTTCTACATTTCTATGCACACATAAGAAAGTGTTTTAACAAAAAAAATATACCACATAAAGAGCTTCAAAAGCTCCAAGTACAGATACAAGTAAAGCATCTTTGTATTTTGTTAATCCAGGTTCTGAGTTAGAAACAACAAGCAGCAAATTTTTCTTTTTTGATTTTAAAGCTCTAAATAAAAATTTTTTTAGTGACTTTAATATTAACATAGTATATTGGTAATAAATTATAAAGGGTAAATACAATATTAATTTTATATTAGAATTACCTCTTTACTCCTGCAATAGCTGCATCTTTATATCGTCTGACATCATCATAATCTCTGTTAATTGGACCAGTTGGTGAGTACACCTGAAAATATAAATTGAAAAATAAAACAAAAAAAAAATTTTAATTAAATTGTAAAATATTTTCTATTAAATAATAAAAAAAGTAATAAATATCAAAAATAAAAATTACTTGTTTATTGTTTATTATTTTTGTTTGGAACTAAAATTTAATTACAACACAAATAACAAAACTTTTTAAACATACCACAAGTTTTACTTCTTTATTTGGAGTTACAACACCACTGACCTCACTCAACAAAAGACCATCAACCTTTTAACAAAACCATTTTATCATTTGATTATAACATTTCAACAAAATTGTTTTTTTTTTATCATAGCCTTTTAAAAAAATTTAAGAAAAAGACTAAAATTGTAACAATAAAAAGTATTTCTAAAAAGATACATTTTATGTTTACATAATGCAATTCATAAACTTGTTATAATGTTCACATAAATCCATTAATACTATTGTTTATACAACAAATTTCATATGATGATGAAAAGTCTTCAAATAAATATGCCATCAACAGACTATTTCAAAAATTAAATTGTAGTGACTAAGAAATAGTGAAAATAATAATGATAATTTTTAATATCTTAAGTAAATATATTAAAAAAAAAACAAATTAATTTACTTGGCTAATCTGTTTTTTTTTAATTTGAATGAGAATAAACAGTTCACAAAACTTGTATAAGATCTCCTAGACAAAGACTTCAGGCATAGCTATAATATTTCTGTTGACTTGCCTCACACCCCCTCTTTATCAAATAGACTGGCATAGATGCAAACCTGTGTTGCATTGTTTCCTATCTAGGATGATAAACATATTTTTTGCATTTTTTTGATATTGCCAAATGCAACTGTTCATGTTATGTCTTAATGAAAAGTACAGTTCTAAAATTTATTTTTATGGTTTTGAGGCCACTCAGTTAACACAAGGTCTATTTTAGATGTCTAAAAACGTATTAAACATTTTATAAACATTTAAACACGCTTTTGTGTTTACTGGGTAGGTAAGGCTAAAACTGGTATTAAGGTTTTACAAACTCTGTGGTAGCTCTCAGAAAGACTGGTTCCATCAAGTTGTAAAATATCAGAGTTTTAATAATGCCATAGGTATGCATGTTGATCTTTTTTTTTCTTTTTTTTTTGCATTATTGAGGCTACATAAAAAGCCCTTTGTTATGACATTGAATTGGTTAACAGGAAAGATGCAACACATAGCTTATTGTACTAAACTGATTCTAACTCACCTTGACTCTTTAACAATTAAAAAGATCACAACTTATCTAGGAATAGAAAAACCCCTAATTTAATTGTGGGTAAGGGTAAACCTTGAATGGTGATAAAACATGGTGATAAACCTTGTAATTTTATATCATAATAATATATCACAACAAAAAGACATAGTTAAGGACAAAAAACGGCAACTACTTGTAAAGAAACTGCTTTAACTCTTCCATAACATAAAATTTAAATTTTTAAAAATGGCATTACAGAAATTTAGTCACAGCACACAAGCATGAACTATGAACAATAAATTTAAAAAATATATTTAAACTGATGAAACTTAACTTTAAATTAATAATTGTATAAAGCCTTTTTAACTTTTTAGACTTTGTACTAATGGAAATTAATAATTTAACACAAACATTTTTTATTAAATAACAGATATTATTAAAATTAAATGACACTCTAGACCATGTTTTAAAGCATTAGAAAAAACCTGTTTTACCCACAAAACTTTTTTTACCTAGTTGTATTTTGGTTACACTTAAAACTTAATTTTGTAATATCTTAGTTAATTTAAAGATATTCTTAAGGCAACTTAATGAAGTAATTAACATTTTAAATTTTTTTGCGGAAAACATTTTGTAAATTAAAAAAAAAAACTTCTATCTATTTTATTTTGACTTCTATCAATTTCAATCTTACAGTTTTAATCTAGAGAGAAAACCCTTTTGTAACAAGCTTATCAGTCTAAGGAGGCTTATATACAGTCTACAGTCCAAGACGCTACTAAAAGTAGCCTGTTGGACTGTAGTGGTCTCCTTTGATTTAAGGAGCTGAATAGATTGAAAAAAAAAACAACTTTTATAACAAGCTTGTAAGACTGCTTGTAACAACCACAAGTTATAAAATTTTATTGTTACTAAAGTAAACAAATTTTTACTTTCTTTTTGATCTTTCAATTTATCTAATAAACTTTATTTTTAACAATGATAAGTTTTTAACATAAAATAAACGCCAATATAATTTTTAAAAACTTTATGTTAAAACAAAGTGTTTTATAGTCAGGTTTGATTAGTAAAACACACTTTTGCGCTAAAGAAACACATAATTCAATAAACTTAAAGATATACTTCACTAGCAATATCAATTGCTGACAGATAGTCATTCAAAAATTCAGGATAACAATTATTTTCATTCTTAGTGTTTTGACCAACTATAACAATTGCATCATAATCACCATTTTCCAAGGAAACACATAACTCAACAGCAAATCCCAACTGAACCATAGCTAAATTTATTATTTGCTAAAATAGATAAGTTTTGTAAAAGTTTTAGAACACATTTGAAACATTTGTTAATAAATTGTGATTAAACTAAATGTAAACCATTTTATTTAATAAAGTTTTATCAATATAGATTTTGAAACATTTCGTTGTTTCAATCATTTTAGCTTTATTTGTGTAATAGCTATCTTTATTACTTATTTACATATAAATTAATATCTTGATTTGACAAAGCAGAAACACTTTACATTAAATTACTAGAAAAAGAATCTTTAAGCACATTATTTTTTGTGAACAACGACTTTATGTTCAGCTTTATTGTGGGTTAGTGTGTAGGTTTTTCTTGAAACATGATAAAACTGAACATGAAACTGAATTCTGATTATTAATAAAAAAGCTCTTCATTCTACAGTTTACATATATAGGAGAAGTCTACCCATATCATTAATAAGTAGACTTTTCAATTAAAAATCATTTTATAACTTTAGAGATAAAATATGTCAATTAAAGATGCCAAAAATACTTTTTACAATTTTCATATTAAATATTATTCGTTGTAATTATAAAATTGAAAAAATAGGTACAAAACAAAAACAAATATGTAAGAATACTAATTGAAGCCATATCTTTTGAACAAAATAATTTTGCTTTTCTTGCATTTTGTAATACTTGCTGCCTCAATGTTAAAATTTTTAAAAATAGTTGAGCAAATTCTAGATAATGCACGGATTGCTGCGCTTCCTACATTGTGATAGTCTTTTTAAATGTTTTTTAAACAGTTTTTTAAAATGTCTTTTTAAAAAACTAAAAAGATTACTGTGTATTAAGCTTTCTTCATTATTAGAGAATAAAGAGCAAAAGTAGTTCGTGATACTGGCGTTTGAAAAACCCGCCTATAAGCTGATTGACTTTGAAACTTGACCTCAATGAGATTTAAAATTTGAACTTATGCTTAAATGAAAAGTAAGAAATTAAGAATTTCATACGTGAGGTTAAAACGTCACCTTAATAATTTAAAATAACTTAAATTAAGTTTATATTATAATAATTTATTATATTATAAATTTAAATTAAATAAAATGCTTCAAATTTTAATGCACCTTCACTTTATACTGATTTTTTATTTAAAGAGACTTGACATAATCTTTAAAACATATATTTAAAATTGCTGTATTTATTTAATGCAATATTTGAGCTTTATCTGAAAGTCTTGTCGTACGATATTATGTAAGCACAGAAATGTGCAATCTGATTTGCATATTTTTTAAGAGGCAAGCGCGCCATAATACATCCGAAGGCTTTGAACCAATAAAAAAATAATAATAAATGTAGAATAATATAATAATATAAAAAATAGCAAACAGTAACAAATAAAATATTTTTTTAATTAAGTTTTGTTTCCTTACGTATTTATATTTTTTTTCAAAATATCGCAACTCAAAACAATTGTGAATCTTATAATACTAAATATAATCTTAAAAGTAGCTGTTTTCTGGAGGGGCTGTCCCGAAGAAATCTTAAAAGTGGTATTTTTTTTGCCAACTAATCCTAAAAAAATTTGCCGATTTAGGCCTTAAAAAAAAAGGTCCTCGTTGGCTGACATTAGCGGACTGCCAAATTTGCCGACTCCAGGGTCCAAATTAATTTTTGAATAAAGTTTTTCTAAGGAGGGTTAGACATCACTACACCCCACCCACCCTCCACCCCCACCTAGGGATAGCCCTGTCTGTCTGTAAGGGATCGTCCAGAATTTACGCGACGCTAAATTTCTCTAATAAACAAAACATAAAAAATCAAAAGTTTTTCCTCGCAAAGGAGAAACTTTTAATCTTTTGTGTTTTGTTTATTAGAAATTTAGCGTCGCGTAAATAAAATCTGCTGCAACTCGGGCTAAAGAGGCAGCTGAAAAAAAGAAGGAAAACAAGGTTATTGTTGCAACCCCTAAGATTGAGGTGTTTTTAATTGTGTATAATCACAGAATGGTCGATAAAAAAGTTGATTCCATTTTGATCACTCGCTTGGCCTTTCTCACTAAGCTACATGAACTCGATTCCATCTTCATTAGAATTTTTGCACATTCTATCCTTCATATTGAAATTGAAAAAACCAAATATTGTCAAAAAATGTTTAAAGCTAAACATTGTTACATTGATTTTTTTTTTACTTTAGGATTGTGCCACTGATGTTTTAATAACTTTACTCGAGCCAATTAAATGTACAGCAAAACGTTTATAATGCAATTTTTAAATGAAGACGTCAGTTCTGAACAAATAATTGCTACACGTTTGAAGATGCCTGTGACAACTGTTGTTGATATCAATCTGTTATTAAAACGCTGTTTGGTTTTAAAGGACCAATAAATTTCATGCTCACAAATTCTTTATTAACGTTTTTATGGTATGAATGTTAATGCCAGCAAAGATTGTTTTATTAGATTTGCAGTGGACCTATGTATAAGCATTTTTGAACAATTTATTGGAGTTTTACTCATCGGTTACTTAGTTGACCATTAGTGCCAACCCGCTATAAACGGTCAGCCAATAAATTTCTGATATTTTAATAGTGGCAAGTCAACGGCTAGCCACTTTCCACTTTTGTGATGGTCCACTAAGTAACAAATGAGTTTTGCTCATTGGTTACTAAGTGGACCATTAGTGGCAGCAGTCATAAATAGAAAGCCGATATATTTCCGATGTGTTAATAGTGGCCAGTCATCGACTAGCCACGTTTGGCGTCCGTCACTAATGGTCCATTAAGTAACCGATGAGAAAAACAATAGGGGTTCGCTCAAAATGCCTATATAGGTCCTCTAAAAATCTGCTTTATAATTTTTGCTTGGATTACTTTCACACACACACACACACACACACACACACACACACACACACACACACACACACACACACACACACACACACACACACATATATATATATATATATATATATATATATATATATACATATATATATATATATATATATATATATATATATATATATATATATATATATATATATATATATATATATATATATATATATATATATATATATATATATATATATATATATATATATATATATATATATATATATATATATATATATATATATATATATATATAAGTGGCGGATTAATGTTTAGTGTCGTGTTGGCGGGGAGTTTTGCAAAGTTTCCTTTGATTAACAATTATCGTTAAAAAAAAAGAAACAAGTGCAGACAAACAAGGTGCAGGGGCGGATACAGGATTTTTTGGTGTTTGAGATTTATATGTTTAAACTTAAGTCAAATAAGGATGCTTTGAAAAAATTGCGATGATCGGAGCCTATGAACAAAAAAGCCCCAAAACCTTTGCACCCTTGCCCCAAACGTGAGAGCAACAAGTTGATAAAACGTTTTTTGTACTATTTTTAGCTAAAATTATATTCATCAATAAATTTTAAGCTTCATATTACTATCTCTCAGCGTACAAAAATTATGGCCATATAAAATTTGTAAGCCAAAATATTAAATTTGTACGCCAAAATATTTTACAATTAAACTTAAAATTTATTGATGAAAATAAGTCTAGTTAATAATAGTACAAAAAATATTTTATCAAAATGTTGCTCTGACGTTTGGGGCACGGGGTCAAAAGTTTTGGGGCTTTTTTGTTCCCAGACTCCACTAATCGCAATTTTTTGCATAAGCATCAAAGTATAAATAGTTTTTTTATTTTCAACCCTTCTGTAGAGTAAAATGGGTCAAATGTAATAGTTAAGGATTTTAATTTAATTAAAATTTAATGTTTTTGATTTAATGTTTTTAATTAAAATTTAATGTTTTAATTTAATTAAAATTTAAAATTTTAACTCAATTAAAATTTAAAATTTTAACTTAAATAAAATTTAAAATTTAAAATTTTAATTTAATTAAAATTTTAATTTAATTAAAATTTAATTTAGTTAAAATTAACTTAAAATTTAATTTAAAATTTAAATTAAAAATCTTTTTCCCCTAAAAAACAAATAATTAATAATTATTTATTTTTTAATTAAAATTTAATTTAATTAAAATTTAATCAAAATTTAATTTAAAGTTTAAATTAAAAATCTTTTTTCCCTAAAAAATAAATAATTAATAATTATTTATTTTTTAGGGGAAAAAGATTTTTAATTTTTTTTATTGTCGGCAACAAATTATGTGACGAGTGAGCTGATAAGCAAATTAATAAGATATTGTTTTCGATGCTAATAAGTACGAACCGATAAGTGACATGTGTCACATGTCTATCAGTGACTAAAATATGAATACCTAAAATTAGATAACTATAAATAGATGTCTATATTTAACTATAACTATAATTAGATTGATCTAATCTTTTGTGAATGTAAAATTAGATAAGTATAATTAGATAACTAAAATTAAATTGAATTAATTGCCTAGAATTTTCTTAATGGCGAACATACAGTGAGCTACTCCACAAATTGCTTATGTGCCATATATGCTATATCTTCCATCCATCCGGATGGAGGTATAGATTTTTAAAGTGAAAATTCACCGCTTTGTACTTTAACCACCGCAAGCGCAATTCGCTCTTCGGTGTATAGTTTTTCTTTTGTTTGTATTTGTTTGTTTTTTTTATGCAAGTTGTTTCGATACATACTTTATATTAAAATAGATTTAACAATAATCCATATGAAATTTATGCACAAAATTTATAAAGATTGCTTGGTCACTTGAGACTTGAATTAATAAAACCGTATTTAACAAGAGAGTAACTAGCGTATTTCATTTATTCATTAGAATCATTTAATAAAAGCAGTCAGTAAAAAGTCATTCATTTAAATTTTTTCAATAAAAAAAATTTATAGTTGGAGATTTATTGGTCACTTCAGATTTAATAAAAAAAAAAAGCTGCATTTAAGAACTAAGCTATTGCTTCACTTATTATTAGCATATTTCATTCAACCCCACAATTCTCCTTTTTCGTTTTTTAATCGTAATTTTTTTTGTTACTCTCGAGTTCCTAATAAACGCCCCCTCCCCCCTCGTTTATTAATTTTTACCTGAAATGAACTAAAAAATTATATATTTCAAAAATAAAAATAAAAAGTTAGTGAAAATCGGCCTTAAAAATTTGAAAATAATTTTCAATCACCAATAAAAACAAAAACTTTCAGTGTAAACAGGTTTTACAAATTGTCGACCGATTTGCTAAAAATGAACTTTTAGTTTATTTCTCAACAAAGCTTTGGTTTTAATTATAGGGTTTAATATCGTCGGGGATAGTGCAAATCCGCGTAACTAGCATTGGATTATACCACGTATCTGACAAATGTAGCCAATTTGAGATTTCGTGGGCAATGCACTCAGGATTCTAATTGGCAGCCCCCAATACTGAGGTTACTTTCATTTGACCTAAAGAATGCAGGTTATTGCCCAAGAACAATACTGCGTATCTGGGACCAGTAAATGTCAGTACCGCGTATGTGATCGGTTATCATCTGGAGCGTAACTGACATGTTGTTACGTGTTGTCAAATTCGGTTTATTCATGAAAATAATCAACTCCATATCAGTTAAATTTTAGTTTTGTTATCTATATAAAAATGTAAAAAAGAAAAAACATTTTTTTTGTTCGTTAACTATTTTTTTAAAACTCGTTTTACAAAAAGAAAAAATTTTAAATAATTTTAGATAAAATTGGTATTTAAAAAAATTTTCAGTTTAAATTTCATCTTAACCGTACTAATTCGTGCTTCATTAGCACGGTTTACCTTACAAAATTTAGTCATTAGTAATAACTGAATATTGCAAGGTAAACATTTTGTACGTTAGCTAGTTTATATAAATGCAATATTTAGTTTAAAATATTACCAAATTATATAAATCATTATGAATATTTTTTCTTTTTTTATATAGCTGATGCATTTGGATTTTTTTAAATTAGATAGATAAAGAGTAAAATGGCGAATAACAGCAAACTCTTGTCAAGAAGATAAAACACATCAATTTATGACATTGAAAGCTTTAAAGAAAATGACTGACAATTTACCATATTTTACTTCACCAAGTGAATTACCAACTTTTGAATTTTCAGTAGATGATTCTGTTGCTGATTCAAATAAAAATCTAATCTCTGAAATAACAGATGTTAAACAGATAGCTTTCACTCAATCAATAGACAGCAATAACGATTTTTTTCATGAAAGAAATTTGGAACCTGAAGTAGCAGTTGAATCTAGGGAAAGAAAACGAAAAGCAAAACAAATGTCTTCAAAAAGATTTAGGAATAAGAATTTGAGAATGCTAGGTCATGAATACACAAGTTTTAGAAAGACTTGTGGGGAAAAATTTTTACAAGACGTAAGACCTGTGCGAAAACTTGGAGCGGCTTGTAAGTCAAATAAATGCTTACAAAGTAATGTGATTAACTTCAAAACGTTTATAGAAAGTGTAAGATTAAATATTTTTAAAAAATTTTGGGAGATGAGCTGGATAGCCTAGAGAATCTTTGTTTCATCTTTAGTTGATAAAAAATTGACTAAAAGAAAAACTACTGAAAGGGCAAATACAAGGCAAAGTATAACTATAGTCTATTATTTAAAATTAGATAACAACAAAATGTGAGTATGTTTGAAGACGTTTTTAGAAACACTGGGTATTAAAGAGTGGAAAGTTGTTGTATCCCTATTAGAAAAATTTAATAGGGATACAACAACAAAACGTAATTATAATGCATGGCCTTGCCATTTTTTGAAAGAGTTAGTACAAATATTTTTAAGAGCTATGCCTAAATTGCCTTCTCACTACCGCAGAAAAGAAAGTAAAAAATTGTATCTAGAACCCATAATACAGTCTAAACGTGAGCTCTATCGTATCTATGTTAAAAATGCTACAAAAAATGGACAGAGAGTGGCTTCCAGAAAACTTTTTGAAGATGTTTTGAAAGAAGAAAACATAGCTATGTTTCAACCAAAGAAAGATGCATGTGATCCATGTTGTTCATATAAAACAGGAAATATTACAGAGCAAGAGTATCTACAACATCACGGAAAGATTTAGCTAGAATGAAAAAAAAGATTTTGACAAAATAGCTGCAAAAAGTGGAACAATTCATGTTATCACTGCTGATTTACAAGCAGTGAAATTATGTCCATACTTGAAAGCCAGTGCATTGTATTTTAAAACAAAACTGATGCTTCATAATTTTACAATATACAATCTTTGCACTAATAAAGTAAAGTGTTATTGGTTAGATGAAACAACAACTGATTTAAAGGCATCAACTTACGCATCATTTTTTGTTGATTATGTAGATAAATTGTCGTAAATTTTTGTTGATTATTTAGATGTCGTAATTTTTAAAGGAAAAGTTAAAACCCGGACTGTTGAACGATACGAGTTCAAATCCCGCCACCGCCAACTCAGCGCTTGAGTGGTACTTCAGTACGCAAAAATGTTGGTCAATAACGGACGCTACTTTGGATTAGAACAGTCACAAATAGTCTTAATGACTATTTGTGGCTGTTCCTATGCTAAGCCAACAATATCTTCGGATATAAGAACATTGTATAGAAAAATATAGCATGAAAACTCAAATAAATGAAATAAAATAAATAAAATAAATATGATACAATCCGTCCTGGAAGAGGTACTGGAGCAAAATATGTGGTTGATATAAGAGTTCTTAAATACAATCCCAATGGTACATTTCAAACTAAGTTACAATGAACAATTCAAACAATTACGACCAAGACCAAAAAAAGGTTCAACCAGTGATTCCACCACAACTCTTTACTGAAAGATTGCCATTAAGATCTCAAAACCAAAATATGAAAATGTTCATATTTTGATTTTGAGATCTTTATTGCCATAAAGATCTCAAAATCGAAATATGAACGTTTACAACAGTTAAAAAGTGTTATACCCAAGGATTGCCATGAATTTTATGACAACTTACCTTACAAAAATGATTAATTTTCTTTTATTCTGTTAAACTCTTACTGAGTCCTCCTCTTTACGTCTTCTTGGATTATTGCTTACTACTGACCTTTCATGGAAACTATATATACAATCGATTGCTAAATTAGCTTCTGCTAAGGTTGCTTCTCTTTATCGTGCTCGCCATTTCCTTACTTCTGATTCCATTCTCTACCTCTACAAATTTCTTATTCGTCCCTGTATGGAATACTGTTGTCATATTTGAGCTGGTTTTTCTTACGATTCACTTTTTCTTCTTGACAAGGTCCAAAAACGCATTGTAAATGTTGTTGGACCTGGACTATCTGCTAAGCTTGAGCCTCTTTCCCATCGTCGTAAAGTTGCATCTCTTTCTCTTTTCTACAAATACTATCATGGTCACTGCTCAAAGGAGTTATCATCTCTTGTTCCATCAACTAAAATTCATTCTCGTTTTACTCGTCATTCAGCTAAGTCTTATTCGTTTACTGTATCTGCCCCTGCACACTTTTATTCATCTAGTTTTTTTCCCCGCACTTCAATCCTTTGGAACTCTCTCCCATCTTCATGTTTTCCTGACTCATACAACCTTCAACTTTTGAAGTCTTCTGTCAACCGTTTCCTTGCTCTGTAACTCTGTTCTTTTTTTTCCTAGTAAATCCCAACTTAATAGTGGTTGCTTGCAGCCTTGTTGGGAGTGAATGCAAATAAAAAAATAAAAATAAAAAAAAAACTATAACTACGATGACAGTTGTTATTTTTTGAGTAGTTGAAACAGTTCATATTCTTCTTTGATGTTTTTTTTTAATTTTAATGTTAATGAGTAACATTTTTCTTAATTTAAAATCATAAAGATTTATTTATGAAGTTATAAAAATATATTTTTGTTAGATAGCTGAAGATGTTCTCTTATTGTTACGAGTTTATTTCGTGATATTATTCCTAAAACCTGCTCTATTGTTTCTAATAAGGTAATTGAAAAGACTGTACAGGCTGAGTTAATGGTAAGATTGAAGCAAACTGTTATTGAAATATTGTTGTACTATCAATATTTGTATATTGTGAGTAGATTTCAGAATATTTTTTTTTAATTAAGCTTGTAAGGTATAAGGTTTTAAACAGATATTATAATTCATATCATCGTTTGTTTATCATATATTAATAATTAGTAATATTACTAGTTTGATTTCGATACCGCATAACTTACTATATGGGGTACCATTGTGGTGAAATTGTGGTTAAATCAAATCCGCGTAAGTGTTCTAGCGACTATATTATTAACTATAACACCTAATAGCTATTATTGACTATAAAAAGAACATCAATAAACTCTTTATGCCAAAATGTGCTCAAAATCTGTTTAGATAAAAAAATATACAGTTTTAACCTTCTCTTGTAAAACTATCTGCAATGCAGATACGAGCTCCCTACCTGTAGTAGATCCACGGATTTGCACTATCCCCGACGATAAGTTTTATACTTTGCAAAGTATAAAACTTATATCAGCATATTAAATCCTATTGAAAATTATGATAAAACAGCTTAACCCTACCCTAATAGCTGTTAGAAAATGCGCTTTTGACCGCAAGTCAAATGCGCATTTGACTTGAACATGCATATTTTGCATACCGAATAAACGGGGGTGCATTGAACATGCCCCTCCCCCCTTCCCCCACCCCTCTTCCCGTTTATTAAATTTCAGAAAAAATCTCTCCCCCTCCGTATATTAACCCCCCTTCCTTTATTAGATTTTGACTAAAATTCCCACCCACCCGTTTATTCCCACCCACCCGTTTACTTTGCACATTGGTTTTTTTTAATGGTTCCTGATTACTTTTTTTATTTTAATTTCCGGTTTGCGGCTTTTTAAGATTATCAAAATTTAATTATCTACTTTACGATTAAATACAATTATGTGAATAATCAACTAGGGTTAGAAACTAAATATTTGTGTTTTAAGTTTTTGATTAGCTACCAATGTATGAATTAGTCATTATAACTTGTATAACCTAATTTTTTCAGATTCAATGAACAAATTATTCCTTTCGCGTCCGCTTTAAAACCTTTTCTGTAACAACTACATTAATGAGCAGTCTCTTGATATGGCGGGACTTTTTGCTTGTACAAATTGTCACAGTCGTCATGCCTTCGAAGATTTGAGCAAAGAAGATCAGCTTTGTAAGGTGCAGTATTATTAAAAAAAAATTATTTCTTATTTATGTAGGAAACCTACTTGTAAAGCATTATATCACTAGCAATCTCTTAAAATTAGTATTTCTGCGATTTTTTATTCAAATTGTACAATTCTACAAAAAGTTATGTTACTTTAGTTTTTAATTATCAAATTATTGTTAAAATAAATAAAATTATTATGTAGATTAACATTTTTTCACCAAAGAAAGAATAAATACATTATTTAAACATTTAAAGCAGGAAATAAAAGTATGTATAAATAACTTTTACCTAAATAAATAGAATAACGTTTAAAAAAAGATTTTTCACTTTAATTTTTAAACAAGACAATATTTGTATCATTAAGATTTCTTATGTCAAAAATTAGTGTTAGTAATTTAGACAGGGTTGGCAAAAAAATCTAACCTAAAAAAATTCAACTCAAAAAAGCCCAAATAACCCACTTTAAAAAATCCCCATAAAACCCAAATATCTTTGGGTTTTTTAGGATTTTTTTTTAAATTTCCTATTTTACAATTGATTATTCTGATATTAGTTTAACAAATTGCAATTTTTATGCATACACTATATTTACATACAAAATGGTTTTTTTAAAATGAATATGATTTTTAGTTTGAACTCTTTACAGAATAATTCAAAATTCGATTAATCATTTTTTGTAGCAAGTGGGTTGTTTATTTTTAAACCAGATAATAAGTTGTAAAAATATTATTGTAATACATATTAGGGCAAATTAGTTTAATGTTTATAAAGGAAATTTTGTTAACAAAATTTCAAAGTTCAAAAGATAACTAGTTATTTAATATCTTTCCTCTCCTCTCAAATGTCTGAACAGCAGTTTTAGATCTATCATTTGATATTTGTATTTGATTTTTATTTTATAAAATTTATGTTATACTCACAAATCAATGCAAAATTATGAAGGTATTTACTACAAGGCCACAAGTAGAATACTATATATAAATATTATTACACTCTATTCACAGTGGAAAGTTGTCAGGCAAAAAAAATTATGCTACAGTATACTAGACTACCTTGTCATGAGTGTGGCCTTAACCTCATAAAGTGCATACAAGTGTAAAACTTTAAATACATGCATTACAATGTCCATACATGTTTGCAACATGTTAGCTCATTTAATGAGAAATTTTTGTTGGAAACATGTATGTATTTCAAAAGGTAAGGTTTGTTGGTAAAAATGATACTCATGCTTATCTATCTTTTCTACAAATTCTATATCAGCTACAACATTTTTTTCAACATCTTCACTTCCAACAAGGCTGCAAGCAACCACTATTAGAGTTGGAAGTTACTGGAAAAAAATAAGATTAAGTTTATAGAGGAAGATAGTAATTGACAGATGACTTAAATGATTGCAAATTTTATGAATCAGGAAAACAAGATGAAGTAAGCAAATTCCAAAGAACTGATGTTTGAGGTAAAAAACTAGACAAATAGTTTTTAGAGCACTTAGTAGCAGTCTCATAAAAAGATGAGACTTAAATAAATGACAAGTAACACAAAAATGAATTTTAGTAGATAGCACAAGAGATACTAGCTCTTTAGAGCAGTACCCATTATAGTATTTATTGAAAAGAGAAAGAGAAGCAACATTGCAACAATATGACAATGGTTGAAGGTTTGCTGCAAGTGCAGGTCCAGCTATGTTTACAATGCGTTTTTGCACCTTGTCTAAATAAGAAAGGACATCATTTGAAAATCTGCTCTAGATATGGCAACATTATTCCATCCAAGGAAGGATTTAAGATGTAAAGAGATAAAGAATAGAATCCGGATTAAAAAAGTGGCGAGCATGATAAAGAGATGCAACCTTAGCAGATGCTAATTTTGCAATAAATTTAATATATGGTTTCCAAGAAAGATCAGAATTAAGAGTTAATTCTAGAAAACAAAGGGTAGATGACTCATCGAGTGCATTACCATTCATGCCTAAAAAAGCATATCCTACAAGGAAGCAGGACATAAAGCAGGTTGTACTGGGTTGCATGAAGGGGGTGTACTTGATCAGAGGTTTTGGATTCCAGCCGGAACCAGATTTACCAGAATTGTTACAAAAATTTGGTTGGAATTTATTTAACAATTCCGGCAACCTATTGGAAGTTTTGAATTCCGGCAACCTATTTCATTAATTTGATTCTTGTTTAATTTAAATCTAATATGTTGTTTTTATTTGTTTTGAAATATATATTTGAGATTTTATTTTTTTCACATTTTAAAAAAAAATGTATTTATAGTTTTAAGAAAACTATGAATAAATATTTTAAGAAACTAACCAAATATCTTGTTGTTTTGAAAATATATTGACACTAAGAACATGAAAATGCATTTCTATAGAGTACCAGTGTTATACCTTAATTAAATATAACTTTGTTACATGTTGCTTAGCAATTTTTATATATAATTATACATAAACAATGTCTATAAAACAAGGTTGATAAGAAGTGTAAATGACATTTTAGATTTCAAATATCAAGTTTAAATTAACTTTCTAAGGTTAGAAAAATTGACTAAAATATAGATACAATCATGAGAAATCAGTTATTTATCAACAGAATCATTCTTTCTATTTTTGAGCTCACCAATGTTTTTAACTACAATCAGCGACCTCAGTAAGATGTAATTCTAATTTTCAAAGTGAAAATGTAAGCAAAGTTTATAATAAAACCATGTGAAGTTGTTGTTTTTCCTGACTGCTGTGGACTATTGATTTGAAATTACAAGTCAGAAATGCAATATGACTTTTAGTTTTTGAGTAAGATATAAAGGCATGTTCAAAAACTCTTAAGTGGTAATCTATCTTTGTGATAATCTTAATGCTGAAGTGTTTATGGATGATACATTATATAATTCAAACTTGATAAAAGTCACCACTTTTTTAGTTGCTGAAATTAGACATCTGGTCTTGAATGTGATATTTCTATTGTATCTGCTTTGGGCATTGCCCAAAGCAGATACAATAGAAATATCACATTCAACCCAAACAACTCAGTTGTTTGGGTTGAATGTGATATTTCTATTTTAACCCAAACAACTCAGTTGTTTACTGATGTGCATCGAAAGAATAATCTTTCTCAGAGTGGATGCATTAACAATCCACTCTGAGAAAGATTATTCTTTCGATGGGAGTTGGTTGTACAAAAAATCATTTCAAAGATAGTTCATTAATACTGCTCTACTTTTCAACATATGAAAACTTTTCTTGATTTAGTTCTGGTAAAATTATTTTTGCAAATTAATTTATCAGTTGCCAAACTGTGTTGATAATTCCAACCAGTTGTTTAAAAATGTATATAATTTTTTCTATAATTTGCAGAAAGAAAGCTTTTTTTTTTTTGGGGGGGGGGGGGGCATGTAATCAGTTTAGTATTATAAGTAAAATAATATTAAAAAATATTTTATATTATTCAGCTATGTTTTGTTGAAACTATTAAATAAGATTATTTATGAAACATCTAAGAAAATTCTAAATTCCAAAAAAAAAAAATTTTTTTCCTAATGTTTATATGATTGATATTTTGCTTTTATTTTTTTTGATTAAAACTTTCTTAATGGTATGTGATAAGTGTTGATGTTAATGGTATGTGATAAGTGTTGATGTTATTTAGTGTGTGTTTAGGTGTTAGTTTTATTTAGGCGTTTATAAAACCAAATTAGAAAATAATTAAAAAAAAAGTTTTTTTTGTATTATTTTAAGACTTTTAGAATATAAAAAAATGGTTGAAAAGTAGTTCTATTTTCAAACTTATTAATATTGTTTATAAATAGCACAAAGTTCTAAAAAATAGTGGGGAGTTGTGACTATTTTTTCTTATTTATTAATGAAATTTGTTTAGGCATGCAGAAAGAAGTTTCCAATTGTTCAATGTAGTTATTGCTGTTTGGAATTCCACATTTTCAAGTTAGTCTAAAATTTTACATTAAAATGTTATAAATTTTTAAATTTTTAAAGTTTTCAGTTTTTTTCAGTTTGGGTTTGTGTTCAGGATCACTAATACTTTTACAATTCATAAAATCGTTAAAACGGGTAATTAATTTATTATAATTAATAAGGTTTACAATAAATAAATTGTATAGGCATAAAATGCCTATTAACCTGGTTATATTAAAATTTAACAACATCAAAGTTTATAAACTATATCAAAAAATGCCTAATAATAAAGTAAAAACCTAAAGGGGTTTCCAGGGCTCGAACTATTACAAAAATATCTAATCGCTAAATAAAAAATTTTAAACTCACCTTTACCATTCCTAGCAACACTTTGCGGTAAGAAGGGGAGTTACATTAGTATAAAATAGTATCTTTGTACATTAGCTGGTAATTTAAATTTTTTTTAACATATGATCTCTCATAATTAAATATCATCTAATAATTTTAGATTAACACAAGTTGTGTTAATCTAAAACAACTTGGGGGCACTGTTTTGTACAATTTATAATGTTAATAACATAAAATGACTTTAAAATAAAACAAAATAAATAGAATCATTCTAATGAAAAAATAAAAAATTATCATCATAATTTTTTAAACTTCATATTTCCGAGATCAATGCAAAAAAACATTATACAACATGTTTTTTCAATTTATTAAACTAAGTTTTTTTTTCTCACTTTTTATTCCAAAACATTTTAAAAGAAAAAATTGAATGAAAATGTTAGCTTAAAAACTATTTAAATGAAAAAATTAATTAATGTTTTTTATTTAAATAGTCTAGATCAAGAAGCAATAGTAGTAGTAGTACTACTACTACTATTTCTTCTTAATTTAGCGTACTATTGAAAAATTAGGTATAATTAATTTTTCATATTCTATTCAAGAATATGAAAAATTAATAGAAAATCATTTCTTTTAAGAACGGTAAAAAAAAATGCTAAACTAGAAAAGAAAAATCAAATAAATAACAAAACAAAGAAAGAAAAACAAAAAAAATCGCTTAATTATAAAAAACAAATTGCGAAGGTGTGAAAAGCAATTGCAGTACACGTTATTTGAGCCCTGGGTTTTCATTAATGATGCACAATAATTCTAACACATATCTGTATAACTACATTATTTTTTAATTGAAAATTTTTTTCCGACTAATTATTGCAATAACATAATCATAAAAGGAATATTTATTTTCAATATGATATGGCGGAACAGCTTTTTGCTTAGTGTGTAATGCACTTCCTATGTTTAAGTCAAGTTCCCTAATAGTTCAAACCATGGCTGTAGTACATATAAATATTTAACTTAAAAAATCGTTTTAATACCTAGTTGTTTCAATTTATCTTTGACAAATATTTGTGGTCTGCAAAGTAGCTTTTCTTTTGTAAAATTTCTTGCAAAATTCACCAGAACATGAACTTGCAAAATTCACCAGAACATTATATGTTGTTTTTTGTGAGAGCAATTTTAGTTTTATCTTCAGATCTCAGTGTCAGTGAGCTTTTATCCTTTAATTTGTTGGTCAATTTATTGAATCCAGACTGATGTTTATATAAGTTTTACTAAATTTAAGTTAAAAAGTAATATACATATGTAATATTATAAAATAACTTAACTATTTATGAAACTTATATTTTACTTATGCTTTGCCTCCGTGAAAATATTTTTTATGAGTAATATGCTTATATGAACTTGTGACAAAATTTTTTTGCTTTTTTAAGTTGTTTTGTTTCTTAAAAAATAATCATTTTTACAGTTATTTTACATTGAATTATAAAATAGCTCAGCACCAAATACTTGAATAAAGTGTTCTATACTCTAAAAATGACCTAAGTTACACCTTATGACTAGAATTAAATAGGTGTACAATTCAAGTCATTAAATATATTTATGTGCAAATTTTTTATAACAATTTAACAACAATTGAAAGTTTTGATATGCAATTTATTCATGATTTTAATCAATCTGTATAATTAAGAAACTAATTTGCTATGTATGCTAAAACTATGAGTTATAATTTTTATTTATGAATAATAATTAACTATAATTTTTTTTTTTTTTTTTTTTTTTCGTTTTTATGTCTTTTTGCTTTTAAAAATGTTTTTGCTATATTTGATGTTTTTCTAAATACTTATATAATAGGAAAATAAGAAAATAAATTGCTATTTATTTGTAAAATATATTATTTAATTAATAAATTTGTAACAGCATTGTAATGAGAGAAATTAAGTAAAAGAATAGCATGGTTTCTTTTATAAATGTATTTACTACATTTGATGCCTGTCTGAAATTGTTTCCATTATATTGACCAATTTGACAATATGAATTATTGGAGATAATGAACATATCGATTGCTCTGTTTGAAAAAATGTATTTAAAAACTTAAAAAAAAGTTTTAATTTGGCTCTGTTAAAAACGTTCAGTAAATTAACAATGCACTAGCCCACAAGCTTTTGGAGTAATGTCATGAACAATAGTTCGTCAGGAAATAAACTATTGGATTTAAATGCATAATTTAGAGAATCCAAAAAAAGTGCAAGCTATTTCGATGGGGGTAGTGAAAACAACCAAATATTTTATATTTGAACATTAGTAATAATGACTTTTTATTTTTTTACATAAAAAACTTGTTGAAAAATAAATCAAAAGTTTTACAAATAAATACCAATTAGTTTTCTGGCTTTCATTTTCTGGCATTGATAAAAACAGTAAAGTTTAGCAAAAACATTTAAAAAGCAAATTTTTAAATTGTCCGTATTTCTAGTACAAAATAAAGTATTTCCTTTATATATTTAACTGACAAAAGTCATGAATAAATCGTATATCAAAAATGTTTTTGTTATATTCTTTTATGGATTTTCACTTGACTTGTATCAATATTACTTGACTAGTATCAGTTTTGATAGTGGAAACGTCTTAAAAAAAGTAAACAAAAGCAGTAAAATATTTAGGTATATATTTTTTTTCTGACAAAATTTTTTTTTTAATTTTTTTTTCAGTTAATTTTATTTAGATTTTCTATTTTGTATAGTTTTCTTTTCCTTACTTCAACTCTCCTCTATAGTTTCTTATAGCTTTATTTTGCCTCAAATTCTTAAACTATATAAAATCATCAAAGTCATGTTGTCTAAAAGAATTACTTTTAAAATGGACATACAAGACATGCAACCGCACATGCTTCCTGGGAAGGCTTTTGTTTTGTTTAGTAATACTATTACTACAATTTACTTTGAGACAATCAATATGGATTTGGGTTGTGGAATCAAATAAGATTAAAAAGTTAAAAAATTTAAAATTGACTTAAAAAAAAAAAAGGTGATGTAGAATTTGACAGTGATTATTTATCTGAGGAAAAAAAATCAAAAAATAGCAATACTTAGTAAGATATTTAAAAAACAGTACTTTTTCTGCATAATTTAAACATTTCCCTGATTCCAAGTAATTAATGACAATTTTTTTAACAATAGATTTTAAAGACACAAATTTTAACATAAATTTTTTCAACGTCTTGTTTAAATCAATGTTTTTTAAAAAATATCAAATGTTAACAAAATTGAAGATTGCGAAAAATTTTGTATTGAGGCTATTAATAATAAATAAATTTCATATTCAGAAGCTGCTTTATACTATAACCTTATTAAAACAACTAATTTTTGTAGGTTAAAAGAAATAAATGAAAATGCTTGTGTTGGTATGCAAAGAGCAATAAACAAAATAATAGAGAGGCTTATTTTTGAACTTGCACAGTTTATGAGTGATATTGGTTTCAGCTTAAAAAGAAATGATATTTTAACTGTGGCTGGAAACTATTTAAAAGAATCTAAACAAGGTTATTTATTCAAGGCAGGTAAACCAACTCAAAAGTGCCACTATGTTTTCATATAGAAATATGCAAAGAGCATTTTTGAAAGAGAGGCTACTAGCATGCAAGCTGTAAGAGCAGCGTCTTCACAATTGGCAATTATTAATGAACAGTTCACCCAAGATGAGACTGTTCATTGAGAGTATAATTTAAATTAAAAGCTGTTTCATGTGTTTAACTGTGATGAAAGTGGATTAAAATTCTATCAAGCATTGTTGAATTTAAAATTTGAATTTAAAAATCTAAAACAACTCACCCCAACAAATGAAAAACAAATGACTAAAAATTTAACTTGTTGTAGTGCTTTTAGAAAGTTCCTACCTTATCAAGTAATTTACAAAGGTCAAAATTTAATGAAAGCTTGGGTTCAAGGTAGAGCTTCTGATGTTTATTATTCTACCAGCAAATCAGGTTGGATGGTTAGCAAAACTTTTTAATGGTTTCATTCAATATTTTAGTTCATGTAAACAAACTTCAAGGATATAAACTTCTATTTTTACATAGCCATGCATCTCACATCAATATTGAGTTAAAAAGATTATCTGAATCAAACAACTATGTTTTATTACAGTTCCCACAAGTCATTTTTTACAACCTCTAGATAATGAAGTTTTTAAAACTAAAAACAGAATAATTAAAGGAACAACATGTTATTATATGACTTAACTGCAATAGCTTACAACAAAACTACGCAAGCTGCTAAAAAAAGAAAACTAGATGAAAAAGCAGCCAAAAAAGTCATTCGAGAACATTAAAACTAGACATGGCCTTTTAAAAATCATCATTAAAATTAGTAATAGTTAAATATATATTTAGTAATAGTTGGGTCAGGTCAGGTTTATCCTGCTACTGGTAACATGTCAAGAGCCCAACCAAGCCTGTACTCAACCAAGAGCCCCTGCCTTGGCCTTTACTCAACCAAGAGCCCCTGCCTTGGGGGTCATGGTTGAGTAAAGGCTAGAGATGGTGTCTCGATAAAAATACTCATCTTGGGCAGATGTTAAATGCATCCGGCTGCTGTCTTGTAGAAGGCACCGAACTCTGTGCTAGCTCTCAGAGAGGCTGATTCCATCAACAGCTGAAAAATATCAGAGTACTAACAGTGCCATAG